TACATGTTGTATATGGTGCTGCAGGTGAGAAAAATAAGCTGTTTTCTTTTTGTAACCTAATTTATGTTTTCGTTCTGGTGCTAATTCTATATCAGCTGCTTCAATAAGTGGTAATTGTGTATTATCATGTACAAGACTTACGATCCCAACGTCTTCACAATGACAAAACATGCATGTTATATTCGATGATATTCAAATATACACTTACTATCTCTGACATAAGGCACATATTGATGATTGTGTACATAAAGACCTAGTTTGAGATTACCATCAGCACCATTTTTGTTTCCATAACGTATACTGTCATTATTACTATATTTCAATTTTGCATTGAATGTATAGCATAAACCACAAGTTGATGATATAAATGGAAGAAAATCTGTTTCTAAACATGGTACAACATTGAACGAACATGTAGAAAGCATACAAGAAAGTGGATAGAACAATGGTTTCAATGATTCGTTTCTATTAATTTTATCTATTAGAAAATTTCTAATATAGTATGCTTGAAATGGTGGCAATGTTGTTGTATCGTTCGAATCAGTTAAATTTCGTGTTTTAATATAGTTGAAAAATGGCTCCTTGAATTTATCAAAACGAAGTGGTGAAGCATTGCAAAGACTAAATGCTGGAAAATACTGTGGCCATTCACTGACATAGCTTACATCGATTTGTGTTGGATATTTCAAATAAGCTACAATTGCTTGCACAATAAAATAGATCATAATCAAAGTAAAGTCAATGAATGAAATCGATCAAAAGAGTCGATTATGTATACTTTCACTTCGAGCAATACCAGGTAGAGCATGAGTAGATATATTCAAACAAAATTCACGTATAATCGAACGGCGACAATGTTGTTTTGTTTCATCTTGCATTACAGCTGAATATTCTTGAAATGCTAACGAATCACTTGTCTAAAACAATCTTATATATTTTTCAAATTGTTAATAATTGATTTGTTTTGTCAATAATAACACTTTTTCATTACTAAAAAGCGATGATTGGTGATCTCAAAGTCAAAAATCTTTCATGTCATAAATAACAAATCAAATGTAGAAGTTATAACACTGGATTAAATTCAAACTATGGCTACGGATCATTCATTTTTTTTTCAAAGTAAGCTAAGATTTGAAAAGTTGAACTAGAAAGACATCTTGAAATATTATTATTTAGTTTTTTACGTTGTCTTCAATATATGATTATAATATACTACTTTGAAATAAAAAATCTGTTAGGAGAACACAAAGACATTTAGCATAGGATCGAAGGCAGACTATGTTATCATATGAACTTTATCCATAACTTATAAGGTATATACATAGCAGCCCAGCATAAATTTCTAAATTCATTATGGAAGCATTTTCCAAGAGAACAATAGTTTATTAATGAAATTAATTCGTGTCAAAATGAAAATTTTGTACAAGAAGTGGAAACATTACTAATGATCAAAAGTGTCTAACATAAGCAATATAAATAGCTTTATCGCTTGAGGTATAATTGCTAGTGAATGATTAATTGACTATTTAAATAGAATGATAGAAAACAAATAATACACTTACTTCGCTTATATTTCAAGTATTCAAAAACAAAAGGTTTTAAATGAACTTTATATTAACAGAAAGAAAAATAGATAGAAACATTTTGTTGACGTCGTTCATAAACTGTGTTTCTTATTGTTGAATTGAGCAAATAGTAATTGTTCAAATGTTTACTCAAAGAAAATAAGAGAAATAGTAAGTGGATGTAAATGAATTTTTTTCTCATATTCCGTAATTCATTACTAGGAATGGCATGTTAACTTTTCTGTGAAAGTTAAAGTAGAAATGTATGTTCTTTTCATCCACACCTACGCCCTCTTAGTATTTTCCTTAGAATTCTCATTCATTTTTTTTTGCTAAGACTTGCTGCTTGTTGTCTAAGTTTCAAAGAATAAATTCATCTTGAAATTCTACTTATCCACCGATACAAGCATTTGTTTCCATATCTTCAATTATTGCTTCATATTTTTGCCTAAATCCTTGTTTACTAAAACTGACCATGCAAAATACTATCATTATTTCTTAAATTCAATCATTATTTGAAGAAAACAATTCCTTATTCTTTCGTATGTAATCATTTGAAAGTATAACTTCATTAGATGAATAATATTTTGTTTATCTAAATCAATTACAAATACACAAAAAAAAAATCTCCATTAATATTTTAACTTTTGCAGAGTAAGCGAAAAATATCAAGTGAGGAAAAGGAAGAACAAACAGAGAAAGTAAAACATTGAAAAATAAAACGTCGAATAATTTTTAAGATGTCAGAAACCAAACTATGTTACTTTTTCGTGATTGACGATTTTTTGACTAGTAAACTTTATATTTTGCGTAAAAAATTTATCAAGAACGAAAACAACGCACAGGACTATTGATTTTATTTAAATAATGAAGTGTATGGCATGTTCTCACCCTTCTTTTTCTATAACGAACTTCGTCCTTGAGACAAAAAAAATAAGAAATAAAAAATAATCATTTAAGCTACAGAAACACACATAAGTATATTGAAATGAAGGTATAAGATTCATCAGATTACATAGAAAAAGGAAAAAAATTGTATACAGTAATAGGACAAGATTTATATATATTAAGTTACAGTGATGAAAATAAAGATAGCTTATCAGTTTACAATAATAGTGCACTCAGAAACACAAAATATAAGTTAACAAATTCAAGGAAACGGATCTATATTGAACGCAGTATTAATTTATATTGATATTCTTTTTCTCATAAATAGATCATTTCAAACTAAACGAACATCAATGAAATCTTTATTGATCATGACTCTGCATAGTTTTTATCAATGATTTATCTATGAAAAATTTTCTTTTATCATTGACAATAAATAGTAACGACTTGTTTTTCATAATTCATTCAAAATATTAACTTTAATTATTCAAAAAAAATCACAAAAATCAATTTAAATTGCGAATTTTTCCATGTTTTCTTTATAAAATTCTAACTAATAAATAATGAAAACAATCAATGTAACTATTTATATTTAAGACAATTTATTCTCTCTATGTAGATAGTTTCATTATTTTAATTGATTTACGAAATTTTTACGAATATATTTTCAATGGAAAAAAAAACCTTTTGATTTTTTTTACATGAAATATTTTTCTTATTGAAAAATCCAATTAATTGTTTGTTAAATTATTTATTTATCTATCTTCTAAATTCTATGAATAAACTGATACAGTTTTTATGTGTTTACATATATATATAAGAATTGTCATCATTTAGTTAATAATTGAAATAAATGACAAAAAAAATTGCCAGTAAATACAGTCACTTCCTTTTATGTATATAATATTGTTTTCAATATATAATAATTATACTCGATAATTATTATCAAAATTGCTACTATTGAGAATATTAACAAAAAGAAAAATAATACTTCACTCATATTAATATAAGTAGAATGATTCATTTTGAAAGATTCGTTTAATAATTCTCGTAGCCTCTAAATAAAAAGAGATTAAGTTAAATAAATAATTTTCCATATAAATAATTATTTCGAGAAAAAAATCATTCGATGATATTAAGCCGATATAAAATAAAGAAGAAATATACTCTTATGATCGATTTTTATGGTAAAATTGTATAATAATTTTTTTTTTCGATATTGAAATATGTGTTTTCGATTTATTACTTTCGAAATATATTCGAAATGTAATGTTATTGCTGATGAATATAAACCATGTGTTTTATATTCAAATATTCCAACTGATGATGTTTCTATTTGTTACTTCTATTTTTTAATAGGAACATAGAATAATAAAAATTTTTATTATTTGTGCCACAACATAAGACACTATGGAAATGAATCACTATCAAGTTTTCTTTATGCAATATTAAATTTTTTTTTGTTACTGGTCTTTCAAACGTGTTAATGAACTCAACAAATCATACAATTGAAAGTTTAAATAATCTTCACATTTAATGGTCAGTGATAGACAAACAAGTGCTGACTTGACTGTTCGAACTTTGGGAGTGTAAAAAATTTTTTTCAACAGTGGTGTAGTTTAGAAAAAAAAACAGCTGTTCGATTGATTATTCTGTATTTTTTCTGCATATATAATACGGTTCGAGCAATATGATCTTTTAAGAAATCCATATATTAGAAAACAAAAGTGGAACGACAGAAATATTCTTTGTCTGTCCGTTTTTTTTGGAAAAATTGAATCTTCATCAATAGAACTTAATGTATTAATTAAGAATTTTCACTGTCACCCTTATGACGCTTATTCAAAAACATCAGTCTTTAAACGTGAAAAATAACATATTGATAAAACTTAAAATCAGAATTTATAGTCAATCATGATTATATAGTGGATATTATTTGGCGAAATGAAGAAATTTTAATTTTATTTTATAGTTAGTACGAGAGGAGCTTCATTTAATCCTGTATTTTTTGGAAAAGAATCGGCAGATCCCTACTGTATTTTTATTTTTCGACCATTTAAATGGAAAAAATAATATAAATTTTCCACTGATTGTGTGTGTTACATCCCTGACACCTCTTTCCACGGTTGAGCCACCACTGTTCACACTTTTGATTCTCAAGATATTATTTTATCAAAAATTGCTGATTTCTGCAATGAATACAGTTCATTATGAAAAAATAAACAACCAGCTTTATGCAAGTATTTTTTTTTTTATTGAAAAAATATGTAAGGAGAGTTACATGTTACATAAAGGAAAATATTTATGAAAATTTTCTGGACGAACATATGAACCATATATAATAAGAATTCGCAAACGAGCACAAGTAAGACGTGTTGCATCATTGGTAAAATTGTATGTTATCATTACTAATGATTCATATGTTATTCTAAGTTCTAACAAACAAGGCAGATGAATTTTAGTATCATTCAGAAATTGATCAGCATAATCAACATTTACACTTCGAAGAATCAAACAATGAAGATAAGGAAATGTGATAATTGGGCATAATTGTTGTTTTCTTTTTTGTGGTTGATAATTCCATATAGTTAGTTTTTGAAGAAAAGGAAAACAATTCGAGACGATTTGAAAAAATTCTTGTTCAAAAGGATGTTTTCTATCAGTCAACATCACCACTCGAACTTTATTAAATATTCCACCTTGAAAATGACAATTCATATTGTAAAACCTATCAAATTGATATGGAAGTGAATAGATATGGCATGTACTTCTTTGTTCTATTGATTCTTTGTGAGTATATGAAGCAATTTGTTGATATTCTCTTTCGATAAAACTACGTTGAATATCATTGTTTGATGGAAGATTAATTCGAATATTCTTATTGATAACAAGAGTATTTATACTGAAAATAAATTTTTTTAATTGTGGCATATGAATAAGAATTTCATTGTATAAATGATTTCCATCAATATAAGTCGATTCAATTCTTTGTATCGATAGATATAATGTTAATTCTTCAAGATTTGACATTCGACATAGTAATGGAACAACTAGACTATCATAAAATTGTGTTCGACAATAAGTTATTAAAGATAAACATTTGAGTTTGGGAAGTTGTCTCTATAAAGAAAAAAAAGGATATATTTTTGATATAATGTTTATGCATATACAATTATTAAATATATTCTTACTGTATTATCAATATTTGATAATGGAGAAGAAATTGTTTCAATATAAATGATCAATGTTGATAAAGAATCAAAACGTCCATCAAGAAAATAAAGACAATCATCAAAATGATTAACATCAATATTCAATTTGGTAAGTGTTGAACAAACACAACTTGTTGATGGCAAATTATACATTGAAATCAGTGAATTTCCACTACAAAACCATTGACTATAAGTCAAATCAGTTAGACGTTTGCTTCTAGACAATATTAATGCAAATAAATTTGATTCATTTTCATCTCGTACTGTTGGTTTTTTATCAATCATCTTAATATTAACATGTGTGATTTGATTAGTGAGAAGACAACGAAGTTTTGTATCATCTTCAATGTACACAAATGTTTTCTTGATTAAACAAATGAAAATACAAAAAACAAAAAACTTATACCTCGTAAATATGGTAAAAGTGTATCTGATTCAAAATTGATTAATGATAATGAATAAAGTTGAGGATAGACAACAGCACCAAGTATATCTTCCATAGAATATTGATTAACAGTGAGTTTCTTTATTTTATTATTAATTCGAGGCAAAATTTCTTTACAAATTCTTGAAAGAACTTGTTTCTCTATTGAAAAGTTATCATTAAGCAATGTTTTAACCGTTAAATCTAGATGATTAGTGTAGAGAGGATCGAGTACTAGTCGATCAAATCGTTGATTTACATCCACCAGTGAATAAAGTACATCGATCATATTCAATTTTTTGATGATATTAAGTAGAATTTCATCGGGCAAATCAAGTATATTCATTCGATTTACGTCAATGATCAACATAACTTGAGATAATTATCCATAGGATTTAATATTTAGTCATCTATATATATATATATAATGCGTTCATTTTTTCACTGTCGTCGGTGAGGACAATGAAGAAAAAATGTACACATTATCATGTTGAACAACAATATTATTTTTCTATCTGGCTAACATTTTCCTTCATTTAGCTCAAAATAGACAGAAAAGTAAATTAACATTAAAATTCACTTTTCTGTCTATGTTAGGATCTTATACTACTATGCTTAGAATAAGATCGAATAAATCAATTGACCATTGAAAATTCATATAAATATATAAGAAAATTTATTTTTCATCGGAGGTTATCATTGATTGATTTTGATAAACTCAAAAATAAAAAAATGTAACAATGTAAAAAAAAAAGGCATTTATAAATAATGTCCAACTATAATTTGCTAACCAACTTGTTAAAGAAAAATGAAATGAACAACAACAAAAAGAAAATAAAAATTAGACGTTTCATCTCTATATTGATCATGTAACATTATTTAAGGTGATATTTTCAAAACTTTTAAGATATCTATGGTGAAATATCATATAAATTCAGTGTTTGAGAAATAATTTACCTTGTTTTCGTTGGTAGATTTTCAATTTGTGTCAAGTTTCAATTAACTTGTTAAGTTGTTGTTTCCTTTAGTAATTGAAGATAATATGGTGGATGTTATTCATTATTGATCGATTGAACAAAACTTTCTGGTATCGTTTTCATTCAAATTCATATAAAAATAAATGTTTATTTTAAAAGAACATAAATTCTAACCCCCCCCCCCCCCCCCCTTGATCACTCCCCATCTTACAAGACCCCCTCATAATAGAAGACCCCTTTTGAAAAAAATTTTTTTCCCCCTAAAAAAGAACCCCCCCCCCCCCCATTTATTTAAGATTTTTTTTTTTTGAGAACTGAAGATTTTCATGTTTTTTACCCTAAAACGTATCTATTCCTGGAGTTTTTAGCTGAAAATTTTCAAACTGATGAGTTCAAATCTATATTTAAGATTCAAAAATCGTGAAAATCTTGTCTCCAATTTTCAAAATCGCTTCAGTTCTCTCAGAGTACCTTTTTAGTTACAAAAACTTATCAGTGTAGCCGCTGTAGAGCTGAAGTGTAGTACTCATGAGACACAGACTGCTACAAATTTATATTATATTCTCAAAAACGGATGGAAAAGTTTATTTTCAAAAGATATCAAATAAATGGATAGATTACAACTAATTCTATCGTTTGAATTAAAGTATACGCTCTAAAACTTTATCCCAACGAAACTATTTCATTTCGAACTAATACTTCTCCCTTCGCTCCATTTATCAGATTTCCTGAATCTATTTATAATATTAATACAACCGACGCAGAATGTTAAGTTTCTAAAGAAACATCGATCATAATGATTAATTTATAGCAGTTTCTATTCGTACATTTCAAACATTTCTTTGTTTCTAATGCATGCTTTTTTTTTCTTGTTACTATTCGCTGTATTATTCTTCTGTTAATCGAGATTATTATTATTTCGTATTATTCGATTCAAGCTTTAATTTAATAATTAAATAAGCTTAGTATAGACATCAGTTGTATCTTCGTCAGATTCTAACAATCTTGTATGCATATTAATGTACTAAGTAAGACACAAAATAAATATTTCTAAAAGTTAGAAAGTAGTTTGATCACGCTTTTATGTAACTTATACTATCGTTATGAAAAATCACAAAAGATTATCTTTCACATGAATCGTATAAACTTTTTATCTGCGTAAAAAAAGGAGGCTAGCTTTTTGCGAATGCTCATAAAAATATTCGAACTATTGGAAAGCGAAAGATTCTAGAAATTTCCACAACCTTTTAAATATAAGTGATTGTTACGACATGTAATGGAGAAGAGGGAACAAGCTGAAAAACCTTGACTCAAACTTACGGTCGCTATTAGTTTGTTCAGAAATATATGTGAGCTATACAAAGCTTAAAAACGTAATAATTAGAGCAGAAGTACAAAAAGTTGTTATTTCAGAAAAGATTAGTTTTGTCTTGTAAAAAAAGAACTTGTCAACTCAGAAAAAATCAATTTTGTTTTGTGAAGAAAAACTTGTTATTTCAGAAAACGATATGATTGTTTAAACTAATAAATTATTAGAAAGAAGAAAAGTGTCATCTACGTAGTACAGTTAAAAAGTAATGACCACTAAATACTTATAGGTTGCAAAAAAACTGAAAACCTCCCAATAATGAGCACCTCTGTAAAGTGGGCACTTTTAACGGGTCCCGATGGTGCCCACATTAGAGAGGTTTTACTGTAGATGGTTTTTTAGTTTTTTCCAGTATGTATATACGTAATCAGTTAGGGTTTTTTCTCGAGCTAGTATTAAAGTGATATGATCATCCTATCTCCATAAGGAATACACAGCTCTAAGATCTGATATGTAAACGTGTTCAAGTATTTCCTTCTGTTTTTTAGTAAAAACGAACCATAAAATAAAAGTTTATATGAAATTAGGGAGGACGAAAGTAAGAAATAGTAAACATCTTAATTTGATATCGCTTCTTGGGATATTGTGATAGATTTTCGAAAGTCCACAGTATATGTTTCTTATTTTTGATATACGTGTTTGTGGGTAAATACCCCAACCTAATTTGTTTCTTATTTTAACTCCTAAGTATTTAAACATAGGTACAAATTCAAGCTTCATATTTTCAAAAAAATACATTGGGGTATGAAGGAGCAACAGCGTTATGAAATAACATTACTTTTATTTTGTTCAAATTCACTGGTAATAAAATATCTTTGTAGTACTTCTCTAGTGCTAACATAGCTATTTCTGTATATTCCTCTAGTTGCTTTATATTTTCTGACAGCCTTTTTTCGATAGAACCTTTTATTAGGATTGCAAGATCGTCAGCAAATAAATTTATATTGAAACGCATAAACATTTTTGGTAGAAAGTGCAAGTGCAATCTAAACAGTGTTGCTGATAAAGCTGAACCTTGAGGTGTTCCTACATTAATACTTATATTTCTGGATATGGCTTCACCATACTGTATATTCATTGAACGTCTCTGCAACCACTCGTATGTGAATCTTACTAGATTAAGTGGCATATCTAAATCTAACATATTCGAGATGAGAACTGGATGCCACATCTTGTCGAAGGTAGTTTTAAAGTTTACAAAGATTCCTAGTGCAGAGCGATTTGGTATTGCTATCGTCAATCGCATGTCTTCACAGTTTGTGAGGATTTGGGTTTGCAGACGTCGGTTCGGGGCGAAGGCTGATTGTTCATCTATGTAGATACCTTTGAATTCGCATCACTTGAGTATTTTTGTATGTATATATCCTTCGAAAAGTTTGCTCAAGTTGGATAGTGATGAGATGGATCTCAATTCATATATATCATTAGGAATGTCTTTATGTGATTTATCGACAATTAATTATGAAACATTGGAATATTTAACAAATATTATTAAAACATTTACAAAAATATATTGATGTTAATGATAGAAAATTATCTAATTTTTTTAAAATATAATTTAATTAAAAAAATCTTATGAAAGAGTTTGGAAATTACTTGTAAAACAAATTGAAGAAAAATCTTCATTACAACAACCAGAATATAATCATAAATTACTTCAAGTAAAATTTCTTTTTTTTTTCTTTTTGTTTTAGCGTCATCAAATAATCAATACGAAATATTTAATTAATTATCAACAACGTTTAATTATTGGAAAATATCGTCGAGTTTATGTTCTATTTTAGTTTCTTTTCTTTGTTTTGTTTTGTTTTTTTTATTTCATTTAATAAATCAACAAAATATAGGGACGATTCATTAAATGTTTTTATCTTTAATGACAAATTTTAAAAAAAGAAACAAGACTTTTCTAATTGTAGATTTAACAATGGCTCTTCATTAGAGTACTATTGATATTCATCTTACAAAACTTGTTGGTTAGTTATTTTATTAAGTTTTTTTTTTAATGATAAATTCGATTATTTTATAGATTGGTTAGTTGATCGTCGTTATTGTTCAAAAGATTGGAATGAACGATCAGGGGTTATTAGAGCGAATATTCAACAAGCTATTTTAGATATACCTCAACATGATCAAATAAAAATATTACTTGCTTCTTTATCTATTAATAGAATTTTCATATTATTTTTATAAATTATATTTTTATAATTTAGAATTATTTTTCTTGTTGACAAATTGTTGAAATATTAAAATAAAGAAAAAAAGAAAGTAAAAATATGTTTAGTATGTATTCATCAGAACGAATCAAGGTTTATTAATCAAATGTCACACTTTCATATTAATATATTTATTTAGGATTGGTGAACGATTGTTTCAAACTATGAAAAGAATTCTGTATCTTGGTTTGTTTTTACCAAGGAAAAAAATTAAACTTCTTTGTTAATTTCTAGTTGAATCTACTCAAATTCTTCAACAAAATCTTGCATATGAAATTCCTGTATTAAAAAAAAGAAATTCGTAAATGTCAACAAATTCGATCAGAATGTCATACATGTCATGCAGAAATAGATAAAAATATTCATTACATTGAAAACTAATAGGCACAATTATGTATTGATATGTCACTTAAAGTTAGTATCATATTTAATACATTTCTAACTTTTTATTTAATATCATGTGATGATGTTCAACGAGAATTCATTCAACCTATTGAATATTTAACAAATATATGCACAGAATTAGCGAATGGAGATAAAAGTTCAATTCTATCATTAAAATTCACTATTGAGTTTTATACAGAGTTTATGAAAGATTTTCATTCATCTTCGAAATCTGATAACGAACAATTTTTACTTTTAATTAATTATTTAATTGAAAATAGAAATACAATAGTATATTAATGGCAAACTACTGGTCATGTGCCTGTTAGTGTTGAATGACCAGCATTAAATTATAGATTTGTAGAAGCAGAAATTAATGACGAAGAAGCAAATAATATTCGAGATTTAGATAATGATATAACAACATCCACTGAACGAATTCAAGTTAAATAACTAGCAAAACAAAGTGATGCTATTAATTTTGATACGGTATAAATCTATTCTTAGGTTTTTTATTCTTCATACTCTTATATATTTCGAAAGAAGAAATTGATTGATATGCTATTGATATACAAACAGAATAAGTTAATCCAACTCTTTTCTCAAATGATATTTATTTTAATTCAATTCCTAATGCTCTTAGAGAAGCTGCTCTTAATGAATAAACTAATCCAAGTATTTGATTTTTTATTTTCTTCAATTTTTTTTTCTCTTCAACTAGTTGATGATGGTATTATTTGTGGAAAGGATACATTAACATAATTAGCAAAATTGTTCAATATAAAAGATTATTTATTTATGAACTTTATCATTTTGTTTTGAAGAAAAAATAGAACTATTTTTAAAGTTTATTTTTTTAATTCTGATTAACACCTTTTCAATTGGAATCGCCATCTAACAGATCGTCGAGCTAATATGTAGAAAAACGAATTAAAAAATAAATAACAAAATTCAATAGAATTACCCTGTCTGCTCGAACTAATTCTTCATTCAAGATAACATTTGATGTGTGTGCATCTTTGACTTCTCGAATTCTAGCATATAGAAAATAAAAAAAAATATTGAAAAAACAATTCAATGCTATGTCTACTTTTTATTTTCAACTTCATATCGACGAATATCTTCACGCAATTGATTGCGTTCATCTTTAATTATATCATAATCAATTTGTTGAACAACTTTTTCATTTAATTCATTATGCTTTCTCTCTTAAAATTGAACATAAAAATCAATCAATCAAATTCATAAAAGAATATAGTTACTTAATGTATTATAACGTTTTTCAAGATCACCATATTTATTATTAATATTAACTAGTATATTTTGAATTTTAAATACATCTTCCTGAATAGCATTACATGGTTGAATAGATACAGTACCAATTTGAGATTGCTACAATCAAAACGAATATTAATGAAAAAGAACATAGAAATATCTTACATTCGTTGAACAAGTACGACTTTCATCCAGGATTAATGAATGATTGTTATTATTTCGTGAACCATTTGAATCTAAATTAAAAAAAACAAAGCAATTTCTATTAAATTTTTTGTTTTCGATAATACAAATCTGTAAACCTACCACTAATCAATGGATCTACACATTTTCTTTTAGCAGCTGTTGTTTTTTGTGATTCTTTATCTACAGAACCATAGACAATACAAATAAAATTGTAAAACAAAAAAAAAATCTTACCATCTTGTAAGCAAGCATCAATAAAGCAAGCATCAACATTTAATTGATATGCATCATTTGCTACTGTTTTAATCATATGTAACTTAAATAGAGTTGTTAATCGTTTATATTGAGTATTATTAAAAGCCGATAAATGAAAAGAACGAAATATTTCATCACGTGCAATAAAAATAACAAGTAATGCCGTCTAAAAAAAATTAACAACTTAACGAATAAATATATTGTTGTTCTTACTTTGAAAAGAAGAACATCATTGCCGTGAACTAATTCATTTAAATTTCATTCCATAATGGAACAAGTTGATTGTTCTATTCAATATCAAAACAAAAGATGTTGAAGAAAAATAGATTATTCAAAATACTTGAAAGATATTGAAGAATAAATTCAAATTTATCTTCAGTACTATCAGTTAATGCTGGAATACTAATATCAGCTTCTGGAAATTGTCGTGCTTCACTAAATAATTCAATAATCATTAAACAATAGAGAAAAAATACGTATATACTCATACACTGCAGAAATAATTTCGATAAAGTGATTAGCATTCTGAAGCTCATTAATTGATGTAACTGGTTGAAGTGATGCACCGATTAAAGAATTAATCTAAATTCAAGGTTTAATATATCAATAAATTTATTACATTTAGTACTTACAGCAAAAAGAATAAGTTCCTCGTTTACCATCTTTACAAACTAACGCAAAGAAAAGAAATGAACGAAGAAAGAAAACATGAATCACTTCAGATTTTCTAGACAAAGAATATTGATAATCAATTAAATTATATTCTCAAAAGTTATTTTCTTTAAAATTCAAAATTTATTTTTATCAAACAAAGATCATCAATCTCTCTAAAACTTTATTTATCTAAAAGTTTATTTTTCTAAAATTCTATTATACGTGACACGACACTCAATTCTCTTTTATTTGTCTTGGAAATTGGAACGTTCCTTTGCTTTGCTTGATTTAAATAGGAATTGTATGACGAGAAACATCTCGAGCAGTTTCCAAACGTTCTTCATAATCTTATCCATTTATCAATCGAATAACTGATTTATTTGTTCAAAATTTTTCTCAATTTATTCATCATCATATTATTGAAATAAAAGCGAAACTGTTCTACCATTATGTAGTAAGAGAAATTAACTCGAACAAATATTTAAATTAAGTTCATAATGACAATCCTTCTCTTATTGAATGTTTTATTTAATTATTGTAATTGATTCTATTAAATGATTAGCTATACAAGAAATCTTGTCTTAATATAATATTCAAAGAAAAACTATAAATAATTATCAAAGTAATAATCTTTAAATCGTACTTCTAACAATTGTAAATGAAAAAAAAATTACTTAGGTCATTCCAAAAGTAGTGGCGGAGGTATATCAATTCCTTATGGAAAGCTCGGCGAAACTTTTTTCTATACAGTCTAATAGAGAAAAGAAAGATCTATTTTTCTATGCTATTTGATCATACTTTAACTAATGTCATGATAATGAATTTTTGATAAGATTTTTTTCGTTAACATGTTTGCTCGTTGTAAGTTGCACATCGCAGTTTTCAATTTCTTATTAGTTGTATTAACAATCAAAATATGCCATAAGATGCAGCGTAAAAAGCTCTAAAATTTTCATAAGACCACTTATTTTCTAGTTGCACATTTTGTTCTTAAAATAGACTAAATTTTGAGCGATCAAATTTCGATCATGGAAAAAGATAATGTTTTTTGATACACGACGAATGCATTTCTTGTTATCTGATCATTATATCACCTGATATGCTTTATCAAAAGAAAAACAAAATACACCAGAAGATGCAGTATGAAAAGCTCTACAATCTACATCATAAAGTTTATTGTAATTGTTTTGAAAAAAAATGAAAATTCTACGCGATCAGTTTTTACAATGGCCAAAGTTCGATCACTCAAAACTTTGTCCATTTTGAAAACAAAAAGTGCAACTAATAAATAAGTGGTCTTATGGAAATTGTAGAGCTTTTCACGCTGCATCTTATGGCATATTTTGATTGTTAATACAATATATTAGTGGACTACAAAACTAACCCGTCTGATTCATTGTGAGCTAGTACAACGAGCAAACATGTTAACGAAAAAAATCTTATCAAAAATTTATTATCATGACATTAGTTAAAGTATGATCAAATAGCATAGAAAAATAGATCTTTCTTTTCTCTATTAGACTGTATAGGAAAAAAGTTTCGCCGAGCTTTCTATAAGGAATTGATATACCCCCGCCACTACTTTTGGAATGACCTAAGTATAAAAACAATGGTAAAGTATGTCTAAAACATTGTAATTGAACAAGCCAAAACCAAAAAATTTCTATTCTACTTTCAGATGGAAATCGATTTGAATAATCCTCGTGGTGGATCACGACGACGCCATAGTCAACTACGTTTACTTGAAAAACAAATTCGTTCTGAAATATTCGAACGATGTCTACAATTTATTGATGTTATTATTAATCAAATTATTTATCAAGAAAATATTTATCCTTCAAGTTTGTTGAAATTCAAAACTAAAACAAATAAAATTAATTTTGTATTTTTTTTTTAAGATTTGTTTATTTCTTGTCAAATGTATAAGACACTTGTATATAAGGCTATACCTTGATTGCGGACATTTTTTTCGACTAATTAAGGAAAAACGTCCGCAATCAAGAATCAGGGGGGGAGAAAAAAATGTCCGCAAAGCAGAATCGGTAGGAGAGAAAAAGAATGACCGCATTGTGGAAACAAGACACGATTTATTATATGAAAAAAATTACAGGGGAATAGTTATTGAAAAATAGTTGAACATCTAAATAGTTTTAGGTTCATAGTCATAATCATCTTTGTCCGCTGTATCGAATAAATGAATACATCGATAAAAGAGTGGACGTAATTTTTTTTGATAACGATAGAGATCCAACAAGCCGTTTAAATATTCTTCTTTTGCTTGAATTAAAATATCATCATTCTTCACTGATCTAAGTCTTCCGGAACGTGTCGTACGTTGTTGAGCATATTCTTGATCAACCCGAACCATTGTTGATTCTTCAGATTCTTGGATGTATCTTATCCAACTATCTACATGGGTTATCTTACTATATTTATTTTCAATTCTTTTCAAAATGCGGACACTTTTCTCTCTATATTCGATTCCAGACCGCGGCCATTTTCCAAACTGCGGTCAGTTTTGTCTCTCCCCCATGATTCTTGATTGCGGACATTTTTTTCCACTAATAAAGAAAAAACGCCCGCAATCAAGAAGACACGGTATATAAATGTATTGATAATGATATATCATCATATATAATATTATGTGTTGCATCATTAAGAGATTTATTTTCTCAACAATTATCTGATATGATTTCAATAAATATCATTCGAAATTTTCAAATTCCAATTATTCTTCGAAGATATTTAATTGAATTACATACTATTCATGATCCATGTTTACGAGCTGTTTATGATAATAGAAAACAATTAATTAATCAAATTGATCAAGCATTTGCTCATTGTATTCAAACAATTAAACAAATAAAACCATTGGAAAATCATAATTTTAATAAACAATGGACATTTCAATTAAGGTTATTTTATTATATTTAAAGATTTTCTTTAAAAATTTTTATTTTAACAGATTATGTCCTAATGAAAAAAATAACAAAAAGGTATAACTATAGAAGAAATTCTTCGTAAACAACCAATTTATAAAGAATTTCTATTAATAAATCAACAATCCGATTTATTATCTAATGGTAAACAATCAATCATATCAAATATTAAATCATTATATACTGAAAGGAATAAAATTACAATATATGTGTAAAGATGATAAATATGAACAAGAAAAATTTCCACAATCAAATAATTATTTATTAAATAATATATCTATTGATCAACAAGATACTAATTTGAAACTGATTCTGATATCGATGATCATCAGGTACACTTATCTATTCATCATTAATATCAACTAACATTCTTTATACTACTGATCTTTGACTCTCCTCAAATCTGCGAGTTATAATCTATTTATTAGTCAAAAGTACCCTGTACGAGAGAAAGGATTTCACAATACGGATACGAGCTAACATGTCTAGATGGTTTTTAAGTTGTAGCAGGGCCTAATTTTTGAATTTTCCTTCCTGTGTCTCTTAAAAATTCTTGAATTCATGACCAAAACGAAAGATCTACAGTTTTTATTTTAGCAAAAGAGAAATTCAAAAATTCGGTTCTGTGATGACCTTGTCTTACCTGTCTACTATACAATGGACAAAAAAATTATCATTTTCTTAACAAATCATTATGAAGAAGAATCTGCCCGCGTAAATAGTATGCTCGAGAAAAACAGAAAAAAATTTTAAAGCCTTTTTTTCAATATGGATGTTCAGAATAACTTATTTAATATCTTTAAAGCTTATCGTAAAATCAATTAACTGAAGTACATTCAAGAGTAGACATTTGACTCTATTCAATGAGTTATTAATCACAAAAATTGACTTTGTCTGAGGGAAGAGTAGTCCTGAAAGAATATCAAGCTACTGGATCGGCCTCTAGACAGTCTTTCATAACACAAACTATTTGAAAATTCGAAGAATTCTTTTTATTTTATTTTGACATAGAATACTTTCGATTAAAATTATTTGAGAATAGATGATTGATGAGTAATCAATAGACTTTGGATGAATAAAATAAATTTTTTGCTAATGTAATTCTCTTTTTTAGGACTATTCGAAAGAAACAAACGTGTCTTCTTCAGTTAGCAAAAAATCAAATGAATCAGAACTTTGGCTATTAACGACAACGAATAATCCTCCAATATGTACAATAGATGATCAAGATATGAAATCAAGTGATATTGAAGAAAAATCAAAGGATAAAAACCGACAAAATAAGAATAAAGGAACGATAATTAATGCTGATTTATTTATTGATCATTATCATTTAACACAAAGAACTGATCGAGAAAATTTCGATGCTCTTCAATATTCATCTGAAGATGAAGATCAACCTCAATCACCTTATTCTCCTGATAATGTTTGGCAAGAAGAAGATAATGATGAGGATGAAGATTTATGATTAGATTTCTTTTTTTTTTTTTTTTGTCAAAGATAGTAATCAAAATGAATTAATAAACAATTTTTTTTATTAAAGAAATCATAATCAAGAACTTAAAAAAACTACTCTTGTTATTATAACTTATTATTTAAATTTAAGTAATCGTTAGTAGAGATGGTACATTACTATTACCAATAATAAGTAATAATTAGTGGGGTTATTACATATTACCGATAATAAACAATAATTTTGTAAGGTAATAAGGAAATAATAGTAATAAAGTAATACACAAATAAGATATTACAATCACTTCTAATCATCAAATAAATTTTCGTTTTTCCTGATAAATCGGTCTAAATATTTATAGATTATTGGTAGGAGAAGTATAGTTTTTGGTCATGGAGAACAAATTTGGTTGAAATAATGCTTCAACAAAATGCAGAAAGTTAACTTAGTTGGATAATGAGATCTTGTTTATATGAACGGAGAAAACACTCATCTTTTTATCTTCTTATTCATGCAATTACTATTATTAATATCCTTGAATCATCCCAGTGTATACTAGGATTATATTTTTCAAATTTCAAAAATATGAAAGTTTATAGTATAAGTTGAATCATTCAATAACAAAGGATCGATGCTTTATTTTATTCGCTCTCTGTAGTATGAGATCCTTTTGTTACAAATGTGTCGTGTAGAATGCGATTATACGTGTTGCTCTCTTTCTACAGCCATATCTACACCGACACTCAACACGGACAATCATATTCCACAGCACACATCTCTCGGACACTTAATCCACATCCATGCCCTTTATTGAGAAAAAAAAAGAATTTATATCAAAAAAAGAGAAAGGAAAAAGCAATGATATTGTTCTTTCCTAGAGGATGAATAATGAAAAAATGTCCCTATGTCTATAAAAAAAGAGCGAACGTAGAAGATGAGTCGATATTTTGACGAAAGACGAAATAGAAGAGTAGATAGAAAATAAAAGAGATAAAGAAAAAAAAACGACATGAAATAGTTATGGGTGTATACGATTGAGGAATAATCTTTAATTGTTTATTATGTAATAATTCTAAATCTATTTGATTTTCATGTATTTCACGTAATAAATAATTGATTAAGAAATTGAATTGATTCTTATCTATTTCAAACTGAAAATTCGATTATAATTGGAAATTTTATTCGATCATGTAATATTTCATCGGTTTTCATTGATTTATTAAGAAGAATCAGTTTTAATTTGATTTTGTGACATGTTTTGAAATGGAAAAATGCAGCACTTGTATAAGTGATTATTCATTGTCCGAAGTTTACTTCTTTTTGTATCTTTCCGTGTCCTTTCGTTCTTTTTTTTTTGTTTAAGGTAGGCCCTCCCTCAGAAAACCCCATTTTTCGAAGAAAAGTCAAAGTCGAGTTTTTATAATAGGAAGATGCACCGAAGTCTCATCTTTCAGAATATCTGTGGCTTTTCGCAAAACGAATAGGATTTGACGGACCTACCATCTGAAACTTAGGTCCTATTATCAAATTTTTCGAGAAATTTTCTCCATTTTTTTCAAGTTTTTAGGGTATTTTTCTCTTTGTATTAACATTGAGTAGAATTCTTTTTATATCAATCACTACGAAACTACTAATACCTAAGATAAAGATCACAGATTTACAGCTTGTCCTGAGCACTGATATATAATTCAAGTGAGTTTCGCAAAAATCAATTTCTAAAACTTATTTAATGTTTTTCTCAAAATTAGTTTTTTCGACAGTACTGTTTACGCGGGCAAGGTTTTTTTAATAATGACTCAATAGAGAAGTGATCATTTTTTTTAATGGATAGCAGACAGATAGGACTAGATTATCACAGGATCCGATTTTTGAATTTCTCTTTTAGTGAAATAAAAAACTTAGATATTTCATTTTTGTTAGCAATTTTCTTAGGCATGATTTCGTGAATTTTACGAAAAAGGTTTTTTAAAAAACAAACAAAGGGAAATTCAAAAATCGGGCCCTGTGAGGATCTAGCCCTAAGGGTACTCTACAACTTGAAAACTGTCCGGGCTTGGTAGCTCATATCCTTATTGTGAAATCCTTGCCCGCGTAAAGCGTAATGAATTGACTAGAACTTATGCATTTCTTTGAGATTTGGGAGAGATATTTTAACCATAAGCTATTCTAGTCAAGACTAACATTCTCTGAAATTTTGGTTGAAATTGGATGAAAAATAACAAAGTTCCTTTCTGAGGAGGGGCCCCCTTAAATAAATATGTCAAAAATAGAAATGACTAAACACATATTTCATAAAAAACAAATAAAAATATAACCTATAGGAAAGTTTTTGTTTTTTAAATACATTCAATCTTAATAATCAGAAAATAGTAAAAATAAAAATTCAAGTTCAATACCAATGGTACTCGAAAATCTAACAACGTTTATATTACTGCTCGAGAAAATAACTATTTGCTTATATGTAACATAATCTTCTATTATTTTATACTCAAATAATGCATTTTTTCATAAAAATATTAATTTTCAGTCCTTGACAAAAAGATTGATGGGAGAAAAGGAAACTACTACATTGAACACGTCTTTTTAGAAAGTCATTAGTTGAGAAAGCATGTATACTTTTTTCAAAAGAAAAACTGTTAGAATAAAGTTTTTCAAATAGAGCGATAGAACAAGAGCTCTGCGATTTGTTCTGTAGGTCTTTCTACTTTCTTTAGAAAAAACATAATGTCTTCTAAGATGATAGAAACTTGGCTATTCTTAGGCCTAGAATTTTTTTAGATTCTTAAAGAACTAGAATAATTCTTTTTAAACCAAAACCTCGACCATCAGCCAAAGCATACTCAACATTATTGAGATTACACAAATTATCACTTCTATTTTGTTTACTGAATGTTCACATTGTTATCCACTGTGTTCTATTGAAAAATATTCTTAAAAAAAACTAAACTTCAAAATCTCGCAAAAAGTTGTGCGAAAAAAATGAAAATATTCATAGTAGGTGTCTGAACATTTGAAAATGTTTGATCCCCTCCTCTTCTTTACCTGGACGCCCTTCATGGATGTCCCCTAATATTGACGTAAATAAACACAAAAGTGTGTTCTGATCTCTTTATACAATTGGTTTTACAGTTTTTATTTAAGTATCCTATCAGCTGGTTTTGATCATGGATAAGCAATTGAATTAAATAAACAACATTTTAATGTTCTTGCTGATACTGATAGTTAGAATAATAAAGATAGATGAATAGGACTTCTTTGATCACGTACAATTGTCTTGAAATTAGAAATAACTCAAAAAGAAGAATTTTCATAATGTTTATGAAATGATTAATATTAAGACAAAAATTCTTCGTGTATTAGCTAATAATGCTCCTATTTGCAATGACAACAAAAAAAGATTTTACCATTACTTATTAATAAAAGAGATTCCACGTATTGTTACTATTTGTTTCATTGCTAATTATTTAATTGCATCAGATATGTTTTCATATTCAGCACCAACATATGTATTGGAAACATTTTCGTAATATCTTCATCATGAAACGGCTGTATGAGATTGATATAGTAATATGATTGAACCAGATTTTTTGAAGACATCTATTATTGAAGAACATGATAAAATCACAAAATACACTATGGAATAGATTAGCAAATGATGTGAAAGATCGTTGACGTAATGAACATCTTATTAAATAAATGGATGAAATTTTATCTAATATTTTTATGAAACATGATGAAAATTCAAAGAAATTTGTTTAATATTTATATTTTCGAGATGTTCAGTTTGATTTGCTGAAAACAAATAGAAATATTGCTATTTCTGTTGGTATACATCATCAATTAAAAGATTAAACTTAATTAGTGTATTTTATTCGATTATCTATCATTGATTGAATCGACAGCAAAGAGAACTTTTTTTTCGTTTTAAATATATGCAAAAAAAAAGTCATATTTGTTTTATATTTAAATAATTTAATATTGATAAATCAATTATTTCTTTGAGCGACATCGCTTATCATTCATATTTGATTTGTCAATTATGTTTGTCCAATCAAGCAAACATAATCATTTTCTCTCTCTTTCTCTCTCTCTCTCGTGTTCAACAACTGTTGTTATTTGATGAGGGAAAAAAAATCATCTATATTGATTTTAAACAAAAAATGACTGATCTTTTTCTTCGATCTCGGATCGAAAATTATTACCCGTAACAAGATTTTATTCATGAATATTAAAACAAAAAACAATTCATATAAATTTTTCATTTTTATTTTATTCTAGTTCGTCATTAACTAATATAGATAATATACCAATGAAAAAAAACATTTCTTATGAATTCAATAGATCTAATATAAATTCATTATCAAAAGAAATAATTGAAGAAACTCCTTATCTTCGTTCTACTATTCTATGTAAGATTTTATAACTTTGTCAAAATGAATTACTTTTCAAAATATATTTTCAACTAGAAGAGTTCTTTTTTTTTCTATGATATATTTGCTTTTAATGCTTCCTCATTTTTTACCATAAGAAAAGCAGTAAGCGTAATCCGTGCGGAATAAAAATATGAAATATAATGTATCTTCTCTTGTTAATCACAGGGGGATTGTCTTATTCGTTCTATTTTAGGACACATTTCTTCATCATCTTTTTACTTAATCGTCCAGAAACTTAATAAGGAAGTAGTTCATATAGTATAATAAAACGTTATTGATATCCGGTCTTTGATCGTATATTGAAAAGATCTGTCATCGTTTGTGTCGAAGAGAAGGACATTGCTAAGGCGTCTGTGACATATTGATAAGATATTCTCTGAAAGTTTTATTTGCGACATATATTAGTCAATAGAGCTTAAAACTCTGAAAAATAGATGTTTGAAAAATGAGGTCAAATGTAGCTCGGCTGCATAGTTTGAACCTACTAGAGCCATCAGGCATTTTCCATAACTTCATCGAACATCATTTTTCCGAATATTTATTTGTTTGCATTTGTGGCTCAGACTATAGTCCATTAGACTTAGAATCTCAAGCTCTATCGACTGGCATAAATCCTAAGTAAAACAGCACTCAGAAGGTATTTTACTAATACTTCTTTTAGATCGCGTTTCACAAAATACCTACTATTAATAAGTGCATGGTATCCGCATGAAGATCAGAATTAGCATAGCTAGTTCTGTCTCATGTCTGAATAGCTTACATTCATTTAGATAAATGTTTCAAGTGATTTGTTTGTCTTCAACAGTTTACTGTAGTATGTATCTGTTGGTTTTTGTGAGACGTGTTAATTCAAGAAGATTAATGCAGAAGGCCGTTGTCATACGGTTAGATATTCTAATGTCCCTACCAGAGTGAGTTTTATTTTTTAGAGATTAAACATTCTTTTTAATAAATCCATATGAGCTCTCTCAAAAATTGACAAGAATAAAGTTATTATCTCATCTAGAGTGCCTATTTATCCTATGTGAAGCTAGATATCGTTCAATCTATTATGACCCGAGCTGAGTCGGACTACAGTCTGTACACTTTGTAAAAATACTCTGTTATTAAAGATAAATATGATTTTCATTTTCAAAAAGAAGTTCCATTTTATTTAAATCGTTTTTCTTTTAAGTATATGATATTTCCATTTATGATAATTAGTCAATCAAATCGACAACTGTTCACCTATCTCAAGTAGTTAAACGTGTATCTCGTTATAATGATGTTTTAAGACATTTTGTAAGTGAAGCACAGAAATATTTACCTAAATCCAATGACATACAACTCACATCAAAATCTGTTCTATCACTACAATCACATGAAAGTATATTTTTCAAATATAAATATCAATGACGAAATATAATACTATATTTTTTTAAGAAGTTCGACATCGTCTTTTTCTTGATTCTCCTAAACAAGATACAACTAGTTCTATCTCCAGAAATCAACCACTAATAACAACTCACAAAACCAGGGGTGTTATAAAACAATTATTTACTTCTCCTTCATCATCGCCATCTAACATTAACTTTATAATTAATGATAAATGTCAAAAACTTTTCTAGTCTTATTGTTTTTTTTCTCTCTTATTTGTTTTATCTTATATTGTCAGATATATCGAATTATCTTATTTTATAGATGACTTATGGGTATACGTTATCGAGCAGTATATGGCTCGTTATTAGTCATTTTTTTCGTTGTATGGATTTTATTAGCAAATTATCCAATAAATCAATCAAATCCTCGAATATATATAGTTAAACCAGCAGCAAAACACTTTGATTATATATTAGAACCTGGAGATGATATATGTTCAACAGATGAATCATTACTTTTAATTGTTTATGTTCATTCAGCTATAGAAAATCGTCATCGTCGAGAATCAATTCGTTCAACATGGGGATCACGTTCAATATTTGGAAAACACATACGTGTTCTATTTATGCTTGGTTCAAGTCATAATAAAGAATTAATGAAACAAGCACAATTTGAATTTGATACTTATCGTGATATTGTTCAACAAACATTTATTGATACATATCGAAATTTAACATATAAAGGTATAATGGCACTTAATTGGATTTTACATCATTGTAATCAAGTATCATATATATTAAAAACCGATGATGATATGTTAATAAATATGTTTTCTGTTCTAAATCATCTTTATACTTTAACATATGTCTATCCAACTGAAGCATGGCATTCTACCATAGCTTGTCTTGTATGGACACGAATGCGTGTTACACGAGATCCATCATCAAAATGGTTTGTTTCATCTGATGAATATCCATATGAACATTTTGAACCTTATTGTTCGGGTTCTGCATATTTTATAACTCAAGATTTAATTCGACCACTTTTTGAAGGAATTCAACATGTACCTTTCTTTTGGATTGATGATTATTATATTACTGGTATTCTACCACAAGCAATTCGATCATCTATTTATGTTAAGTATTTATTTATTAATTCTCTATTTGTTATTAATATTGATCTAGTCGAACAACGTTTTCTTTCACCATTTGGTCTTTCTTCACTTGCTTTTGGTCATATGCCATTATCAGTCAATCGTCTTTTACATGTTTGGCAACATCTTGTGGCAAATAGTCATTCAGCATATAAATATCTTAATCGAACATTTCACTAGTCATTTATATTTTTTATTGTTTTGTTTTTCTTTTGTCAATCAATGTCTTCCATATTTTTATTCTTTTAGATAAAAATGATTTGATTTGAAATTCGTTCATCGCTTGCTATATTACTGCACCTCCACTTTTTCTTGTTGCTACATCGACACTCTATATAGGCAATTGATATTTTCTTAACGGAAAAGTTGGTTTTCTTTATTATATACGAATGATTGTATCGTAAAAACTTATGTTTCAATTAGAAATATGGCTCGAAGAATATGACTAAAGATGTTCGAGCTTATTATATGTATTTACAAGATCCACATATCATAGGAAATGAATATTATCCATTTCAAAAAACACCAATAATAAATTATATTAAAATTTTTTTCATTTCAAGGATGCCGAAGAAATCGACGAGAGTCTCACATTAATCAAACTCCGAAATCTTTGGAACATGTAGAAATATTAACAAACATACTTTGTTTATTATCACCTTTTTTTTGTGAGATATTTTAAATAAATAGATTCCAGCTTTTTTTTTGAACGATTTCTATACCATGTGGAGGAAAATTATTTTTTATAAAATAAAAACTTATAAAAATTTTTTAAATAATTTTTTTCTAGCTCTTTGAATATCATCCTCAAATCGTTTGATCATTTCAATGCAAAAAGTTTTATATACATTTTTTTAAAAAATTTTCATAACAATATCGTGAGTTTTGTACTTTTTATTATTTTGTATTATGTAATAGTCAAGTAACGGTTTATTTCATCACAAAATGGAATATTTATAATAAATATTTTCATTTTTTTTTAACTTTTTGATTTGTTTATTTTCATTTTAATGGAAATATCTACATAGAAAAGTAACAGAAAAAAAACAATCACAAAAATGGACTAATTAGGTCTGAAGTTATGGACTCGAGTATGAGTAAGGATCATTACTACTTAACCTCTTACTCACATGCTAAAATACAGACAAGTAACATTTCGACGATGTCCTTCTAGTAATTCTATGCTTCGATCTTAATGTAGGATTTTTGAAAACCTGTATCTTTGGAAAATGTTGTTTTTCGATGCTAAATCATCCTTACATCGCATAGCTTTTCTGTCACATATTTGCGTCAGAATATCACTTTTCTGCTAAGCAACAAAATCTTCATTAAGAACAAAATGGAACGTCGTTTTTTTGCCATTAGTAGCAAGATCCACCGACCCTTAGGTGATTTGTCAATTTTCTTGGTTTTCGCAAAGTTAAATTTTCAATAAGACGAATGACTACGACCATTGTGTTGCATATTCACCCTTAGATATATGCAATTGGTGATGTGACAACCAATCGCCGATAAGAATTTCCAGTGAAAGGTTAAGAACTCTCTTTAGGATTCAAAAACATGATCTCTTTTCTCGCTCACTTGTCAAAATCTCACGCTGTTTCTACCCTGAGATCATAAACTATACAATGCATATGCATTGTGTAGCGTCGTGGTACATATAAAAAGTTATAGATTTCTAGTGAATATTCATTCATTCTACATCTTTCGCTTTAACTAGAACTGATATAATCCCTCTTGAATGATTATTTTTCGATAACTTAGAACTCTATATGCCTCACAATATTTACTTTCATTGTTTTTCATTAAGTTCTCCCTGAGTTATGATGTTAGAAGCAAGTTAAAAAAAACTTATACATTCGATCGACTAAAAGATTCTCCATGCATAATCTATGATCCATTATCGGATATTTTTTACACTTGACAATGAATTTTCTTCTCTCATTGTGTTTATTCATAATGCAAAAGAAAAAAAAATGCTTATTGTATTATTATTTGTTTTTTCTTTCGTACTGCACGTACAATTAAAAAGTATTGATAACAAATCAGTCGATAAAGCATTTCGATTACTTCCATTATTGAAAGAAAACTAATACCGATCCATAAACTAGTTTGACCTCCGATATTTGAAAGGATATCTACCACACCGAATATTGCTGTTTGTGTATTATTTTCAACTATATTTGTCTCGCGCACAACATTAACAGCAAGATAATTCTTCTTAATATGTTCACGCCATGTAGTTGTCCAATTGTTAGGTAATGGAATCGTTGAATTTTCAACGAATCCCTTAATCTCATGCATTTGTCATCCGACTGGTGTAGTTAGAGAAGATGTTTGAATAATAAAATTTGTTATTAAACATTGTTGTGAACAATCCGAACAATATTTATTCATAAGTATTGAGGAAGCTAAAAGTGTATCGACTGCTTCAGTATAATAGGTATTGCTTGCATTGCATAGAGACACTAAAATAATTTTGTCCGTTCCTGATAAAATAACTGAACGAGTACTCCGAAGATTAGGATTAACACAACCACACTGTTTATGTCTATAATAATAGAATGAAATATGATGTTATGACTAAATATATCACATTATTCTCTCTCTCAATATATTTACGCATAGACTTGTCCACAAATTTGATAACAGACTGTTTCGGAATAGCCATAATTAGCACCATGATAATTATTAAACATGACATGCATCAATAGAGGAATCTTGTTAGTACATGTTGTATATGGTGCTGCAGGTGAGAAAAATAAGCTGTTTTCTTTTTGTAACCTAATTTATGTTTTCGTCCTGATGCCAATTCTATACCAGCTGCTTCAATAAGTGGTAATTGTGTATTATCATGTACAAGACTTACGATGCCAACGTCTTCACACAATGATAAAACATACATGTTATATTCGATGTTATTCAAATATACACTTACTATCTCTGACATAAGGCACATATTGATGATTGTGTACATAAAGACCTAATTTGAGATTACCATCACCACCATTTTTGTTTCCATAACGTATACTGTCATTATTACTATATTTCAATTTTGCATTGAATGTATAGCATAAACCAGAAGTTGATGATATAAATGGAAGAAAATCTGTTTCTAAACACGGTACAACATTGAACGAACATGTAGAAAGCATTGAAGAAAGTGGATAGAACAATGGTTTCAATGATTCATTTCTATTAATTTTATCTATTAGAAAATTTCTAATATAGTATGCTTGAAATGGTGACAATGTTGTTGTATCGTTCGAATCAGTTAAATTTCGTGTTTTAATATAGTTGAAAAATGGCTCCTTGAATTTATCAAAACGAAGTGGTGAAGCATTGCAAAGACTAAATGCTGAAAAATACTATGGCCATTCACTGACATAGCTTACATCGATTTGTGTTGGATATTTCAAATAAGCTACAATTGCTTGCACAATAAAATAGATCATAATCAAAGTAAAGTAAATGAATGAAATCGATCAAAAGAGTCGATTATGTATACTTTCACTTCGAGCAATACCAGGTAGAGCATGAGTAGATATATTCAAACAAAATTCACGTATAATCGAACGGCGACAATATTGTTTTGTTTCATCTTGCATTACAGCTGAATATTCTTGAAATGCTAACGAATCACTTGTCTAAAACAATCTTATATATTTTTCAAATTGTTAATAATTGATTTGTTTTGTCAATAATAACACTTTTTCATTAGTAAAAAGCAATGATTGGTGATCTCAAAGTCAAAAATCTTTCATATCATAAATAACAAATCAAATGTAGAAGTTATAACACTGGATTAAATTCAAACTATGGCTATGGATAATTCATTTTTTGTTTTCAAAGTAAACTAAGATTTGAAAAGTTGAACTAGAAAGACATCTTGAAATTTTATTATTTAGTTTTTTACGTTGTCTTCAATATATGATTATAATATACTACTTTGAAATAAAAAATCTGTTAGGGGAACACAAAGACATTTAGCATAGGATCGAAGGCAGACTATTTTATCATATGAACTCTATCCATAACTTATAAGGTATATACATAGCAGTCCAGCATAAATTTCTAAATTCATTATGGAAGCATTTTCCAAGAGAACAATAGTTTATTAATGAAATTAATCCGTGTCAAAATGAAAATTTTAATTGACTATTTAAATAGAATGATAGAAAACAAATAATACACTTACTTCGCTTATACTTCAAGTATTCAAAAACAAGAGGTTTTTAATGAACTTTATTTTAACAGAAAGAAAAATAGAGAGAAACATTTTGTTGACGTTGTTCATAAACTGATTTTTTTGTTGAGTTAAGCAAATAGTCATTATTGTTCAAATGTTTGCTCAAAGAAAATAAGAGAAATAATAAGTGGATGTAAATGAATTTTTTTCTCATATTTCGTAATTCATTACTAGGAATGGCATGTTAACTTTTCTGTGAAAGCTAAAGTAGAAATGTATGTTCTTCTCATCCACACCTATGCCCTCTTAGTATTTTCCTCAGAATTCTCATTCATTCTTTTTTGCTAAGACTTGCTGCATTGTTGTCTAAGTTTCAAATAATAAATTCATCTTGAAATTCTACTTGTCCACCGATACAAGCATCTGTTTCCATATCTTCAATTATTGCTTCATATTTTTGCCTAAATCCTTGTTTACTAAAACTGACCATGCAAAACACTATCATTATTTCTTAAATTCGATCATTATTTGAAGAAAACAATTCCTTATTCTTTCGTATGTAATCATTTGAAAGTATAACTTCATTAGATGAATAATATTTTGTTTATCTAAATCAATTACAAATACACAAAAAAAAAATCTTCATTAATATTTTAACTTTTGCAGGGTAAGCGAAAAATATCAAGTGAAGAAAAGGAAGAACAAACAGAGAAAGTAAAACATTGAAAAGTAAAATGTCGAATAATTTTTAAGATGTCAGAAACCAAACTATGTTACTTTTTTGGTGATTGACAACTTTTTGACTAGTAAACTTTATATTTTGTGTGAAAAATTTATCAAGAACGAAAACAACGCACAGGACTACTACGAGAGGAAGAAGGAACAGACTTCCTTTCCGCCAAATAATCAACAACATCAGCTCAGAACATAATGTGAAAAGTTCTTTAAAGGACTTCAAAAATAACTTGGAAGTTGTTATTTTTCGATGATTCGGATTGAAACTGCGTCAAAAACGAAGAAAAAGTATAATTCATGCATTAGTCGATTCCCATGCGCTTCGAACCGTACAAGAAATCGGCGATTAAATAGTGATATACTGATCATGTAACTGAAGAATTTAATGACAGCTAACCGACAATATTTACCGATCACCACCGGTTTCTCAGATTTATACGCTCGTTTTGTTCTTTTCTACCCTAACGATCTCTATTGTTGTGTATTGATAAGTGTACCTTCTTACTAGTTTTCAACTATATCTTATCCATCTCTTATGTACTTTGCATAAACGACATACAAAAAATGTTAAACAAACAATTTCAAAATAAGATAAAACAGAAAACTGACCTATCACTATGTTCAAACGATTCTTGTGATGCATTTCAGTTTTGTATAGATCTTATAATGCTATCTGTAATGGATAAAAGTGCGCTCTTTTTTTCAATTAAAGGTGTGGACCTAGGTTACGGTGAGGTTGGAGTTTTCCTTCAGCCCACTCTCACACACCGATACTAACGCAAACCTCACCCACACCTACATCAACACCCGTACATACTATAGCCACATCTACATTTATGCCCTTAATCATCGTTCTCCATGACATACATGGCTCGGTTGTAATCGGCGTGTTTTTTCTTCTCATATGTAGCTTCTTACAAACACTATTCCACGTGTCTTGAAAAAGGTAGTAAGCTGAGCTTCCTCCTATCTGTATTTTTTTCTGTTTACACCGCTACCTCGATCGACATCTGAAGATGGCATGGGCCAACTCGAGTCGGTTGCACCTTCTGATTCACACATGAGTGAAGTCAGGGATCACACAGAACTGCTCTTGGCGTATTTTCATGATCAACTATATAGTATACCATGTTAGTAGTCATGATTTAAGGGTTCTCACAAACGAATGATAAGACCGTATCTACTAGAGTATCAACAAGTTAGTATGTTTGGAAAGAGTAATAGATCATCATGTAGAAGAAAGAAGAATGATGAATGTTCTACAAAAAACACAGAGCCATTTGCAGGATAGAATAATTCACTTTTTTTCTAGATTTCATTCATGTGTATAGATTAAAAAACATAAATAAAATTAGTTAAATGAGTATCGCTTCTGAACTTTTGTCTGTATCCCACCAGAGCATATATTCAATTTGTTTGACTAGAATTCAAGTGAAGAATGAACCGAACACAATTTGTGAATATAAGCTTGAACATATATTGAACGAATCTTCGTCCAATTGTCTATGTTGCAAGTGATACTCAAAATCATATACGGCACACTGCTACAGCTTCTTTTGCATCTATACTCGTTTGTTTTATCGCGGTTTATATTTTTTATTTTTAGTTTTCGATTCAGTTGACGAATACTAATAGAAGGTATATTTGAGATGTTTACAATCTTACAGTTGTTCTTCCGTCTTTATATATTTGTTGGTTTCCCTGTCCTAGAAAGAGGAATCCATAGGAAGTAACACATCTATATATAGGAAAGAACTCATCTCTATATGGAAAATAACCTATCCATACATGGGAAGAAAAGCCATCGTTGTACACAAATAAGATCATCCCAAAAGGGTCAACATAGAGGAACAAGCGGATCTTTGCCTTTTCTTCTGTCAAACTACGTAATATTGGATAAACAAAGAAAGAAGAATTGAATTAGGGTGTGGGTGTGGGGTATGATTGACAAGAGGACCAGATCCACATCCACATCCTATACCAGTATCAATATTTCACTTAATGATTCTCGATCCCTCGTTAGTAACTTTGAACTTTTTTATAATTTCTCTTGACTTTAAATATTATTTTAAAGATTTTGATGATTTGTATTAATCATTGACATCCATAAAAAAAATTACTAAATCATAATGATAATGAGACCAGTGACAACGGTATATTATAGAAAAAAAATTTATTTCGTAAAGCAAAAACTAGAAATTAAAATATAAAATTAAGGACAAAGAGGTACTGATCGACGAATAATAAGTTGACTGTCAATGGAAAATGAGAGACGGTCATTTAGTTTGAGTGAACCATGATGTTCTCCGTGCTTGTATGTAAGAGGAACGGAATCGTTGCTATTCTGTGCACGTACAAAAATTTCATACACTTTATTGTCAATTGTCAAATCTATTGTAGTTCCTTGATATTTTAGACCATGAAAAATGAGTTTTGTAACTTGATTTGGTAGATGACCACGAGGTTTAAATTCAAGTTGATCTAATTTTAGACGAATACCACCATAACCAAAAAGAATAGCTTGCAAGAAACCTCCAGCACCTGTTATAAAATTAACTGCACCAACACCTGATTTAGCTTCAGTCCATACCTATAACAGAACAGAAAGTCAATAGACGTCAATATTAATATTACAAAAATTGACTAACTAACATTGAATGGAGGTCGAACATAAGTTTCATAGGAACGTCGAAAAAGTTGTTCAGCTTTGTCAAAATCACCTAATTCAATAAAGCCAATCGAATGCATTGACCAAGTCATAGCCGGACCATCATCACGAGTTAAAGGTTCATAGACTAATAAATCATTTCGTCTTACTTGATCGCTCATTGGCCACATGATTGGAAATCCAAGAAGAACAACGTCTGCTTGTTTAATAGTCGTATTCTCTTAAATAAATAAATCAAAATGATTTTTCGCATAAACAATATCATCAAATCTATTTACTTAAATCAAAACCTTCATATTCAAGATGAGTTTGAGTCAAATTATCGAATGGAAAATGTAAGTTCGATGCAATATCAAGCCAAGATTGAGGCGTTTTTTTATTAGTAATACAACTAACACTATCAGCCAATAGAATAGAAAGCGAAGCAACTGCATTCGTAAAGACAGAATTATTTTTGAATGGTTGAGCATCTTCATCTGGTGGTAAGACAGCTAAAATAAAGAAATCCATATGTATGAATTTATATGACAATATTAGTAATTATTGAAAACATGAAATATTTTCATTTCAATAAAGAAAAAGACTTACTTAATATTTCATATTGTTGTTTCTCATTATTGTATACAGCTCTCGAACCCCAAAATCGAGCTGTCTCATAGATAAGTTCTCCGCCAAGTTCATTCAATAGCCAATCTCGATTACCGGTAGCTGCAATATATTGTCTTGCTGCAAATGCAATATCTCCTGTAATATGCATTTGATAGAGACGAACTTCAGGACAACAATCTGGTGTCACATCAACACCAGTTCTAGCACTTTCCCAAGGAAATCTAATTGATTAAAGTGACTTATTAGCAAAAAAGAAACAACAAATACATGAAATGCATCAGATACCTCCATCCTTCATAACCAAATAGACGAGCATTATCAACTGCAGAATCACGTAGAGCGATTCGGTATGATAATATTTCTTTAGCCAATCTAAGAAAAAAGAATCCATCAATCAACATAGATATTGTTTATTGTAACATCCAATATAATCCTCATTGATATCTACAATTCCTTCTATCACATGTTTTCAACAGTTTATAACGAGAATTTTGTGATCTACCTAATTTCGTTTTCTCATTAGTTACACTTCATTGTACACTTAGCTTTGTTACTCATACTCATCTAATTAACTTTTTTTGATCGTATACATTATTACTTCACTAGTAAACTTCTGCTCTTCTTCAGCTATTCACATTATTCTTGTTCTCTTTGTCTTTTCTTGCTGATTATCATCTTCTCCTCTTGTTCTTCATATAATAAAACACATCAGTGAATCTTCATTCGTCTTCAAGTTAATTTCTCATCACTTTATCACGCGTTACCTCATAGTGGTATCTAGGATCGCATCCTATTGTGTCTCGCTTCCTTCGTTCTCTCTCTTTACCTCGACGTTCTTTATAAATGGTCCTTTATTCACTTACGTAGGATAAAAAAGAAGAACTGATGGAAACATCCATGTTTCTGTATCCCAAAATGAATGACCACCATAATCTTCACCCAAAAGACCACCTCTTGAAAGACTACCAGGACTTAGACCATAGAATTGTTTATGTTCACTTCGTGTAGATAATGGTGGTAGAGAACTCAGAATATAATAAAAAGCAGAATTGATTTGTTTTTGTAATTCATCATTTCCAGTCACTTCAACATATCCATTTGACCAAATATCATTCCATCTTGATACATGTGATAATAATATTTCATGTGGTTGTCGTTCATTGGTTGCTATTGAAAATCATTATATGTTGTTTTTCTTCTACTCAAACAAGTTTATAGTTTACTTACCATAATCAAAACTTTGTTTAGCTCTTGATTTTATTTCATCAATTGAAGTAACAAAAAGATATGTTCGATTTGTTTCTTCACTATCAAGTTCTAATCCTTCTACAGGCAATGGTGTATAATAAACAAATACAGATAATAGTTCTTTTTGAAATTGACTGTTTTCTACTTGACGTGTTTTTCCAGATAAAAGACTTTTATATAAGAAAAATAAATTACAATTAAAATAGAATAAATATTACTTACACATGTTC